AATCGAGTTTGCTTTTTCTTTTGTTCATTTTAACAACTCTATGAAGCTTTGCCGTATTGCAGTGGTCATTCTGATTTTAACTTTACATACCGAGAGTACTATAAGGGACTAAAGGAAAAACATTCTCATAGGAGAATGGAGCATCACAATTTTGTAGAGAAAGATTAAAGAGAGAGAAATCTCTGAGACCAGGTTTCCCTGAAAACAGCAAGATCGTTCATGTGTTGTACATTTTGCAGAGCGGAAGCATTTCGAGCTCACAAACAATACGGAGTAGCCAAAGCCTTCTGCATGACTTCGGCTTCACAAGAGTCAGCTCATTTTGTCCTGCACGGGATGTGGCCTAGAATAGAAAGATTTAAACGATACTTTGGGATTTGTCATAAAGGAAGAACTGTTCAGGAACTATCAGAAGCAGTGCTGCCGGACAATGAGTATTCAGGACCACCAATCATCTGAGTGTCCACTTGCTATCGACAATGACAGTCGATAGGAAGATCCCAAAAGAATTCGACAATGCATCTGGGTAACCCGTTATGCTCGGTATTCCTTTGAGTGTTATTTTTAATATTAACTTCGATACACTGGAATGATTGGGATGCCTGACCAAACCCATACAGAGAAGGCATTCAGTGACCATGGGTAAGGTGTTATGCTAAGTTCTCAAACTAAAGAGTGTAAGAAAGTTTATCTGTCCCAAAGAAGTTTACTATCCTGCAGAAATTGGACACAAATATTAAAGAAACAACCCTGAGATAAACAATACCGACAGAGAAAAAAAAAGTCAATTAAACGTGCTCTAAGAATTGAAAGGAGATCCTGATTCTGAAAATACAGTTGAACCTGGTAAAGGCAGATTCTCTATAAGGAAAGAGTCTGCCAGAGAAGAATAAAACAGATATTTTCCACTCAGCCAAACCTTAGAAAAATTCCAACACTGCATTCTGTCAAAAGTGGGCAGCTTGCAAGACCCAAAAAAACAAAGCAGTCCCTTTGAGTTCTGACTAACCTGAACTAGTTCTGATTAAGAAGGTTTTTCGATGCGAATATCTTCGATAATAATATATAATGGACTGAAACAGTTTTTTAAGTGACTGATTTGGTTCAATAGCTTTAGAGGTAATGAAAGTGGTCACACAAATATCCCTTATGGGTAAACGGGAAGCATTCTAAGCTTAGTTCGCGTACACTACTTGGAAGATGTTGCTATACTGTATGGAGGCTGTGGGGGTGCAAAAAATTAATTGGTGGTCTACTAACCTCCAGGTGGGCCGATCAAGCTTACCCAAATACACCTTTGAAGAAAGGCCTGGCAATCTGCTCCCAAAATATCACACCATGAAAACCCTAAGAAACAGTTCTGTGCCAAAGACATGGAATCACCGTTGTTGGATTGACCAAAATGGCTGTTTCTTTCCACCATTAATGGACATGGTACAGATTTTTTGGTAAGTGATTTGAAGGCAAGCAAACATCCTTGTGGCCAATAGCATTCGTCAACTCATCCAAGTCTGAACTCAGCTCAATAATGCCATCAAAACGGCGTTCGCTAAGATCTAGACAAGACCTCCATGCCACTGACCCCAGGAAAACCAAAGAATCCAGCTGGGGAGCTACAAGTCAGGAAGGACACTCAAAATCGTATGAACCACCAATTTAGCAGACAGCACACCTTTCGGTGATGTATTATCAATTCTAGCCACTATGCCGATGGTAAAAATCCCATTTTGGAGTTAGTTCTCTGCTATGCTAATGAACATCTATCTGTCTGTCTATCCATCTATCTATGTTGCTGAGTCAGGTCCGGCTCATAAAGAGCCTACGCCCAGCAGAACCACACACTGCCCGGTCCTGTACTGTCCTCACAATTGTTTGTATCCTTGAGCTCATTGCTGCAGTCACTATGTCAGTCCATCTGTTGAGGAGTAAAACGGGATGTATTCTGAGTCTCCACCTTCCTAGAGGGTGTGCACCGAGTTACCATCTTTAGTCTCCTTGGGAATACGGTCTGCTGAAAGTTCAAACCACACCTTCATCAAAGTCATTCCTCTGTGCACAAGAGCCAGCTCCAAAGCGGAGAGGGAATCTTCCCAGGACCATCAAAGAGGAAGTGTCCTCAGCAGAGCACATTCAAGATCTCCACCGGAAGTGGTGGAGGCTGACACCTGAGGCACCAGAAGCTGTGGCGTAAAGACTATGGGACAAAGCAAGGACGTCAGGCCCAGACCAGAGGCCAAGGCGATTAAACCATGAGGCAGAACATGGGAGCAATGTCACGACTATGAGACAGTGAGGCAGAGCCATGGGCTGGCTTCCGGGCTCAGGAAGCAGAGGCCAAGGGATCTCCTGGCTGAGGACCAGAGACAAACTGGACCGCTGGCTAAGGAGAGGTTTTGCTGTGGACCGATGTATCCTCAGTGCTTTCTGATCCTGACGGTGAACTTCCCTAATAAACCCCTTTAAGTGTCAGCATTGTCTGTGAGTTCTGGCTGGCAAATGCAATGGATTATTGAAGCCAGCGGAGAAGTGGTGTCGTCGGAATAACGGTTGGCGTGAGAATGGGGTGAAGAAGCTGGAGGATGGAGGATGTGTGGCCTCTGCTTCATGGCAATAGGCCTCAGGCTTCTGAGGAACTGGATTCTCTTTCTCTTTTGAGTAGGCAGAGGCGGGCAGCTATGCACGCCTAGAGATAGTACCCTATCTCAGATGACTCGCTACTGAAAGAGAGATTTGAAAGGTGCGTTTTGACTATGAATGTGATGCTATTCCTCTTCAATTTGTCATCCCCAGCACAGTAAACTGTATCACTCTCTGACTCAAACTGGCCAGTATCAGTCCATTTCCGCCCACTAACGCCTAGGATGGGAACCTTTATGTGGTTCCCTTCTCTTCTGAGGACTTTCAATTTCTCTAGCTTCATGCTTTGCACACTCCATGTTCTGAGATGAATGGATGTTTTCAGCTGTCAAGTCCCATTCTGAGTTGTGCCCTATCAGAAAATGATAGTCCCCCAACTGTCATTCCATCTATGTCAGTAATGTAGACTCTTTTGAGGGGGCAGCTCTTCCCCAGTCATGGAAAGGGTCTTTCAACCTAAGGGCCCCCTCTTCCAGCTGTGTATCAGACAATGCTCTGCTGTCATTCATGAAGTTTTCAGTGGCTAATCTCTTATAAGTAGACAGTTTACTCGTTCTTCCTAGTATGTGTTTAGTGTGGCTATTTCACTTAAATCTGTTTGGAATACTGGTGGCATAGCTTTCAGAATCACAGTGACATGCAAGCCACCACGGTATGACAAACGGGCAGACAAGCGGGGAATTAATATCAGAGACTGGATCCTATATATCTAAGTCATTTGAAAAAGCTTCTGAAAATATCTCATAGAATGTATTAAATTATTTAGATATATTACAAATCTTAGATACTAATTTTCTTATTCTAAAACTTTCTCACAACATAGATATGAGTTTAAGCTATTCAATGTATTTTTTAACTCTAAAAGTCTAAAATAATATTTTCTCATTCTCAATCTTTCTCACAAAAATATATTGCAGTTTTACGTAAGTTATTCATCATAATACTCCCAATATAAATCAATGTGTTAATTACATTCAGTTCAAATAGGGATTTTCTCAAGATTTTAAAATATATATAATTTGGCATTAGTATGACTATAGAGAAAAGGCTCATTTTCTTGAAAGCAGACCACTGATTAGATAATTTTGGCTTTTTGTTCATGAAAAATTTCCAAAACATGCATCTCCAGTCATCACTGACCTCAGCGCTTTCCACAAGCATTTATCCTGCGGCATTTGCCATCTGTTAACCTTCATGCCATTCATGCGATTAAATAACAATCAATTTGAGAAACTCAACCAAGTTCTTTTCACAGATACAAGAGCACCAAGGTGTGTGTGAATTTCCTCTCAAAATAGAGGAACCTCTTAGGAGCAACCAAGTCTATTGACGGGTTAGGAAGGAGCCCTGCTGGTGCTGTGGGGTGGAAGCACGTTGCACTACTAACTGAAAAGCAAGCAGTTCAAACCTACTAGCCTCTCAGCAGGAGAAAAAAGGCTTACAGAAATGCAAAGAAGCCAGGGAGACTTCCTCTAGAGTCAGCAAAGAAACACACAGCATCCACTTGCTGATGCCTTCCATTCAGGTTTCTAGAGTTTAGAAGGTTGGACAAAAAATTGTGTTCTACAAAGCCATTTTACTTTTCTATATATTGTTGTGGCAGTCCTAGAAAAAACTTAAAAACATATGTGAAGGGGGCAGCAAACGTCAAGGGAAAATTCCATTCTCTTTTTCATTTTATTTTTCTATGAGTCTTTTGAAGTCCCCTGATAGGCATTAGGAATAAAATTTCAGACCAAACAGTCTCTTCTACGTTTTTGTCACCAGAACATATAATAGCATGCGCATAATGTGATATATTTGCACTAAAACATTATTCTTTTAAAAATGTATGCTAATTTTGTTTCAAGAACACACATCTTCCACTTGTTAGGGTGTGCATTATAGAAGTGCAGGATTTGGACTTGCCTGTTTCCTTGGCAGATTTGGAAAGCCCACAATTGGGAGATGTGGTCATCAAAGCAGAGTGATTCTACTTTATAGCAGCTTTGCTACCTGAATGGTAAACTTTTGAGAATTTTTTGAAGTTAGGGAGAGGACATATTTTTATAGACTGGCATAGAGCTTGCACGAATAATTAATATTTAACAGTTGTCACTGTCATTCTGGGGAAAAAATCCACTTTATAGTCTTTTAAAAATATCCTTAAAATCACTTATTGCCATAGCTACTTTTCAGTTACATCAAGAGGTCGATTGTGAGGTGTGTCAAAAAATGAACATCGTCACAGCATGGCTTAGTAAAGAAAGAAAGCACGTACAGCAACATCGGTTCCGCTTTAGCTAAAACCACTAAATCAGTTTCACAAAGTTAATCTTATTCATATCAATTCATTTCCACTGGGGCAAATCTGAAAGAACTACCTGAGACTGTGCATTAATATTGGCTCCTTCCTTAACAAGAACTTTGACGACTTCTGCTTGTCCAGCCAGAGAAGCAATGTGAAGAGCAGTATTTCCCTTCTGTTTGGAAGAAACAAAATGAGAAGAAGTGTTAGAGTTAATAAAATTTTGTAGAAATCAAAATATGCTAACATCTTCAAATTTCCCAATTATTTCAACTTGTCACTTTATTCGGCTACTGGTCATCCTTGGAACCAACGAACCACCATCCCTTTGCATCCGCCAGAAAGCCTGGCACAGAGGGCGTCTGAGGGAGACGGCTCCATTCGGTTTGTGAGGGTGCAAAGCTTCACAAAGTGGACTGACTACTCTTTCTCTATGGAGTAGCTGTGAGCTAAAAGTGTAATACAATTGGCAGCCTAATGATTAGCCTACTGCACCGCCAGAGACATGGTGAACAGGATCAAGAACATAGACAGATTAATGGAGTTCTTACTGAGTCAAATAATGTGGAGAGAGAGAGAGTGTGTGAGTGTGTGTGTGTGTGCGTGTGAGGCAATACTACCCTTTACAGTATTTAATCAATAACTGAACAATTTTCCCTCAAGGAAACGTTAACAGCAGCACGAACAACAAAAAGGTTCATTGAACCATTGAGTTTACGTCCGTTTGCAAAGGAACCTGGACGTGTAAATTACGCAGACACTGACTTTGCTCACAACAGTGCCTAGTTGCACATGGCTATGGCTCCAAATCATCTAAATGGGGTGGGGGGGCACCTTAACCACAAGGTTACCAACGATTTATAACACACACGTCATCAAAATCCGACATGCACAAAGCTCATCACAAGTGAAAAATACCCTAACCTTTCATGGAAAGAAAATGGTGGCCGAGAGTTTAAAAGCTACGTATGGTACCACTAAATCAATAACATTCTATAGCATAAACATACAGAAATCTGTATAGTCAAAGTTCAGGCTTTAACACTCTTTTTTTTAAAAAAATCATTTTATTAGGGACTCTTAAAGCTCTTAAAACAATCCATAGATCAATTGGATCAAACACACTTGTACATTTGCTGCCATCATCATTTTCAAAACATTTTCTTTCTGTATGAGCCCTTAGTATCAGCTCCTCTCTTTTCCGCCCACCCATGTGAACCCCTGATAAATTATAGATTATAAATTATTATTTTCATATCTTTTACCATTCACTGTCTCCCTTCCCCCACGTTTCTGTTGTTTGTCCCCCTGGGGGTGGTGGGTGGTTATACGTCAAACATAGTTGGTTCCCCGTCTCTCCCCTTCTACTCCGTCTTCCCCCTACCCTCATGGTATTGCTGCTCCCATTACTGTTCCTGAAGGGGTTCTCTGTCCTGGATTTCGCATGTTGAGAGGTCCTATCTCTACCAGTGTACATGTTCCGGTGGAGCCAGACTTGTAAGGTAGAACTGGGGCCATGCCAGAGGTGGTGTGGGGCAGTGGGGGTGGGGGGGAGCATTAAAGAACTGGAGGAATGTTGTGTGTGTCATCGGTGCCATACTGGTATATTGCACTCTGGCTGACTTATTCCTTGGGTGAGGGAATGTCCAATTGCCTACAGATGGGCTTTGGATCTCCACTCTGACCCACCTCATTTGTATCGATATATTTGTTTGCTTTGGGTCTTCTGGTGCCTGATACCTGATCCTGTCGACACCTGGTGATCACACGGGCTGGTGTGGTTCTCCCAAGTGGGCTTTGATGCTTCCCTGCTAGATGGTCACTTGTTTAACTTCAAGTCTTTAAGACCCCAGATGCTATATCTTTTGATGGCTAGGCGCCATCCACTTTCTTCAGCACATTTTCTTATGCACACATTTTGTCTTCAGCGATTATGCCAGGAAGGTGAGCATCACAGAATGCCAGGTTATTAGAACAAAGTGTTCTTGCATTGAGGGAGAACTTAGGTAGAGGGCCAATGTCTGTGTGCTACCTTAATACTTAACATATAAATATATGTACATAGACCTATATCCCTATCATTCTATATTAATACATATATATATATACATGCCTCTATAAATATCTTTTGCCTCCTAGTTCTTTCCTCTATTTCCTTCTACTTTCCTCCTGTCCCACTATCATTATTTACCTTCATTCGACTCTCAGTAATTTCTCTTGGCTACACTGCACTTGATCAAACCCATCAGGCATTCTACGCCCTCCTTGCCATTGTTTTTT